GGGGGGGGGGGGGGGGTTGTTTGGTTTTTGTTTTTTTGCCCTTTGTTACTTGTATGTTTTAAATTACACAGTGCATATGCTTTTTACAGTGAAAATGTTTTACGACGGACCTTTCAAATTTCTGGGCTTTTTACTTCCTTTTGTGTTAGACTGTCAGTATGTGATCCCCAGCCATGACATGCACAGATAGGCTAGTTTTTCTCCTTCAGATCAGCAGCTTTGGACAGCTTCTGTTTCTTTGGCAGCTGTTTCAACCTGCTCTGTCTTGTCATTTTAGAGTTCAATATCTGCTGCTCTGAAGGAAAAAAATTGGGATGGGTTGGACCATTGTATTTGGTCTTTTGACCCTCCATGTTGCCCATGAGCAGTGAAGGATAACTTTTGATGAGCCATGTCAGATGTGACAGGCAATCTAGTTGGGTTGAGTGGAAATGTGCTGTACAAGTTTGAAGCCTTTGTTGGGGGCATTTTTCTGGTGTTCAATGCATTTAAATTGACACCAGACTTCAGTATGTTGTTCGTTTCAGAACCCATACTGTATGTTTGCATTTCCTAAGTGTGTGGTTTTAAGACCTAATGTGTAAGCATTTCAGACGTGGTTTGCATATCATTCAACAAACCAAATGCTATTTTTACTTTCCAGTGTTTTTAGCTTTTTTCCCCTCTTCAGAAACTTTATTTTTTATGTAATTTTATAATAAATTTGGTTCCCCCGCACCTTACTCTCCCTCCCCCAGAATTTCACATAGCAAGTTTTTGTTAAGTTTATTTGAAGTATTTCTGTGCATTCAGACAAGGTACTGATGTGGCATGATGTAAGGTTTTAAAATGTGCATCTTTTTAGGCAAAGCAAATTCTTCAAAAGGTATTCAAACAAGCTTGCTTTAAGTGTTTTGAAGGTGCCATTATTTCTGAATTAAGTGTTTCAGAAACACTTGTAGTAGGCATTTTGACAAGGAAATAAGCTGTGGGTTTTATGTATTATTGTGTTGACCTCAGTCTGGACCTCTTTGGTTTGTATTCCTTAGCCAGCCAGTGATATACAATTCTGCTTCATTTAAATGCATTTTTCTTATGGCTATGCTGTACTAGATCTAGCAGATAATATACTCTCCACTAGTCTTTTGAAAGCCAAATTCTACCCGTCAGTGATCTGGTTTGGCTTTTTACTTCAGTTTCCATTGATTTCCTGCCATCAGCTGAGTAGTGACATGTCTGTCTCCCTTTGCTAGTTTGGCTTCTCAAGACCAGTATCTTTCTGTAGTTTTTTGTACACCTCTAGAATCAGATCACATACTGTAGTGATGAGCATCAGTCTAAAATTCAGATCCTCTTGCATATGTCCCGTTTTTCCCTTCAGTCAGTTCTCCCAAAATACACCTTCATTGTTTTTCCTGTGTAGGCTTTAAGTTTTCCATTTCTCTTAGTGTCTGGTATTGAAGAATTATGTTGTCTTATGGCTCTATAAATTGATTCCAGCTAGCATCTATGAAATATGCATTATTATTAATTATCTTACTGCATCTTATTGCTATCTGCCCTGCTTTTGGTAATAAAATGTATGTTTTGGAGTTCTGTTCTTCACGTGACATGGCCTGCAAAACAGACTTTTTTCCTTATTATCTTGCACTACATAGATCACTGGTTAGTACCTTATTACCTTCTCCATTGCATTAAATCCATTGGCTCTTTTTTTCTTCAAGTAAGTTAAATTCCAGCTCCAGAAGCTTCTATCTTACCTTCTTTTCTCTGTCAGTTTCTGCAGATCTGTAAGTAGCCAATCGTGGCTTTTTTAACACTACTACTTTGGTTGTATATAGGAATCTAACTACAGTTATTTCTATTTTAATCTCATCATCTAACATCAAATGATCTGTATTGCTTCACTGTGGTATCTTTGGGTGTCTTGTCTCTTTTCCATAATAACTTTGATCTCTGACCTTTCTAAAGGAAAAAAAGAATACTAAAACTCCCCTACTCCAGTTTTTGTGGATGCTGTGGTTTAATCGCACCACTTTGGTAATGCCATCCACTCTTTCTTACCTTATAGAAATCATCCTTCAGTTGTCATTGAAAGGGAATAACAGACTTTCCAAGTTAGTCTTTAGAAGTCCCTACCAGCCTGACCTCCAGTATTATATTTCTAAACCCCTGGAACAGCAACCCCAGAATCAGAGAAAGTAAAACTCTTTTTTTCCTCCAAATGCTGATTTCTACCACTTGAAAAAATGATGAGCCACAGAGCAGTGAAATGTTTGCCCCCTCCTCTGATTTGTGATAACCAGGGATCCCGGTTTTCCGTTCACCATGGAAAAATGTGGTAACACAGGGATTTACTCCTTTAAAAGAAAAAAAACACAGATTTTTTTCCTTTAAAGGAGAAAAACACAGGAAACAGTGGGTTTCCCCTTGCAGGCTGGCAGGGTTCCAGCCTCCTAGGGGCTGGCAGAAGCAGGAGGAAGGCAGTCAGGCAGGGGGTGCCGTGTGCATATGTGCACGTACACATGCACATGACTGCCAGGCAGCCTGGAGAGTAGCTCCCACAGGTAAGTCGAGGTCATTGAGGCTCCCATAGTAAGGGAGGGAGGGAGTTGGGCAAGGCCTGGGCTGCCCAGCCTACGCGATGCTTGGGGCCCAGAGCCATAATGTATGGCCACAGAGCCTGGGCAGCAAGTAGGATAGGGCCAATAGGCAGTTCATCCAGGACAGGGGACCATGTTCTTTTGGTTATTTGTTTTCTGTCTTCAATGGGTGGCCTTCCTTAAGCAAAAGGAGTGAAGAATGCTCTGACCCTGCCTTAATCAACAGTCTAGTACTTTTACACCCTCTCCATGCAAGCAGGGGGCATTGGATAAACCCCACTGCAGATGAGGTGGCCAAGAACTTAGGTTTCCAATTTTCTAGGCAAGTGCCTTAACCACTAATCTGCTGGGCACTGAACAGGTGCCACTGCATGTTGGTTTTTCCTCAGCAAAGAATGCAGAGACATATGCAGAATGTTGGCACTTTCTCCAACAGAACTGGATCACAGCATGGTATAACTAGAGTTAGATGCCTGGGTGACTGTACTGGATCACTAATGAGCATAATCTAAATTAAATCCTAGAGACTTTTTCAGGCCAAAATGGGGATACCTAAGAAACATCAGTACTTTGATGGAATAGGATTGCAACACCTAGAAGTTGTGTAAATTTATATGAATTAATCAGAATAGAAGCTGGGTGTTACAGTGAAAATCTGTATCAGAGTAAAGGGTAGGAAAGGTGCTAGAGCAACAGATCTGCTTTGAGAGGGGCATGCTAGGTAGTTCATAATGGAACCTACTGGATGCTAGAGAAAGGATTAAGTGTTTCCACTGTAATCCTCAGTGGAGCAGAGCAACTTGAGTCTCCTCTGTGGATGGAGAGGCTGTGAATGGATCCTTATCATGATAAGCTGAATCAGGATTTGATGAATTAACACATCAGGCTTTTCCCCTGGCTATGTCTCCTTGTACTGGTCACCACCAATCACATTTCAGGTGCTCCTGAGCCATTTTGCAGCATTTTGGTTACTGGCCCTTCCCATGAATTTCTGTTACCAAGACTCTGCTCTTTCAAAAGTAGGGAGGGACTCTGCTTTTGTCAGAGCCTGGCACAAACTGGGAGTAAACTGGCCCCACTCTGTTATTAAGTCTATTATAATAAACTCCTATTCCATTTGTAATATCGGTATGGTTTTGCATGCCTAATTTCTTTCTGGCTTTTATCCATTTTTGGAGTGTTCTTATTTCCTGCTGATAAAAGCAGCTGGAATTTTTCCTAAAAGATTATTCAGATTTATGTCTAATTCAGGAGCTAACAATATCTTCTTTTTGTCCTAATCCTAGTAATGACATAGATAAAAATCTTCATTCTGTTGACTTAAGGAGAGCTATGCAGATATCAGTTATTATAAAAATAGTTAATTTTACATATGT